ACCTCTGCATGTTGTTGGTGGGAATGTAAATTAGTATAGCTGTCATGGAAAACAGTATGGAGATTCCTCAAAAAATTAAAAATGAAACTACCCTGTGATCCAGCAATCCCACTACTGGGTAGCTATCCAGAGGAAAGGAAATCAGTATGTTGGAAAGATACCTGCACCCCTGTGTCTACTGCAGCACTTGTCACAATAGCTAAGATACGGAATCAACCTGAGTGTCACACAGGCCTGAAAAGACAAATACCACATGATGCAAATGTGGAATCTAAAAAAGTCGATCTCATGGAAATAGAGAGAACAGAGTTACCGGAGGCTGAGGCAGTTGGGTGGGTGTTGGGGAGATGTTAGTGAAAAGATTTATAATTACAGTTAAATGGGAGGAAAATGGTCATGAGATCTATTATACAGCACGGTGACTACAGCTAATGATGACACACTGTATTCCTGAAAAGTGCTATGAAGAGGGAAGTTAAGTGTTCTCACCACAAAAATATCTGTATGAGGTAATGCATGTTAACAGGCTAAATTTAATCATTCTACAATGAATACATACCTTAAGACGTCATGTTGTACACAACAAATAAATATAAAATTGTATCTGTCCATTAAAAAATAAAATGGAAAAAAAACTCTCCAAAGGGGATTTTAAAGAACATTAGGAAATTCAGAATTAAGAGGACTGAAGACATTTTTGAATGAGAAGACATTCCTGCCTGCACTTGGCCTGCCAGGCGTTAGGACACAAAGCAGGCAAAGTAAGATCACGTGGCATTGGTGCAAGAGCAGAGAGAAGAGACGAGGTCCATAAATTACCTCGTTCGTTTAATTTCCATTTATAGATGGGGACTGAGCATCAGAGCTGGTAAGAACTTGTCCCAAGATTTAATAGCTCAAGGCGATGGAGCTGAGATCCAAATATAGCAACCAAAGCCTTCCTGCCCATTAAGGTGGTGTGTGGAGGGCCCAACTTCAGATACCCAGAACACTTTACAGCTTAAGGTTTAATTGGTTATGTTGGCAAGTGGCCAGGATCAAACATTTCTCCCACCCTCACCTCACACTGTCTCTTGTCTTTCCTGAGTTAAGTAAACTCACTTGTCACATTTTGATCTTTTGATGTCATTGCCCCTTAAAGAAGTTGATGTAAGCCATATAAAATTTTGCAAACAATTTTGAGGTCGTAGTTTTCTATTGGCACCCTGAAGCCCAGCCCTAGATTAAATAGGGCAAAGGGTCCCTAACCTGGTCCATCATCAAAATTACCTGCAGAACTTTAAAACAACGTCACTGCTAGAATCTATCCCAGGCCAGCCCAGGAGTCCCTAGTGATGGGATTTGGAAAGCTATAAATGCTTCCCAGGGAACTGGCATTTCTATGTTGCCAGGCTTTGGAGTTAGGTGCTTAAGAAGAATAATCCTTAACATTTACAGTGCTTTTCATAAAAGAGTATCCCTTCCTTGAAGTAACCACACTATACTGTTGGTGCTATGAATAGACTATTAGCAAGAGGAAAGGACTGTTTAAAAAATTAAGGAAAAATATTTTCCCGGTGGGGAGGACTGCTGTGTGTCCTGTTTCCTTCAGGGTTGTTTTACGTGTATAATGCTGTAGCCCTCCCTGGGTTAGATCTACACATGTTTTGAATGTTTAATATGTAGCAGGTCACATCTGATATAGTAGCCTTGGAAGAAGAAATAAGATCTGAAAAGAATAGGTAAGTTGAAACTACAGTTTAGAGAACTTTTCACCTCGGTTTTGTCAGTTAATTGAGAAGCATGTTCAGTGTATCAACATCAGTGCCGAAACATCTTTTATGTATTGTTGTGGTTTTATTATTTTGTTTTTAGAATGGTTGCTCCCTTAGATAATTTGGCATGATTCTAGAGAAAGCTGTTGTCCTTTCTCTGTAAAATTAAGCTGCTGCCCACGCAATTAGGTGTGAATTACACAGATAGATCCAAACGGCCTCTGGAACAAAGGCTTTGTGATCATAGCCTTTCCTGACCCTCATTTTCTGTGACAGTTGGTGACTTTTAACCATCCCAAGACCACAGAGGTTCTGCAGGGTACATGCCATCTGTTGCAGCTCAGTTAGGTTGGATTTGTGCCTCCAGGAAGACAGAATGCTTCAGCATGGCTGAAACTGTTCAGTTTTGACACATATTCAGGAGTCCTTCAAAACAACAAAAAAGAAGAAACTAAATCGACGAATCGAAGAACTGATTTTTAAAAAGAAAAACCTCATCACCAAATCACCAAATCCCTCTTAAATCAACTCAAGGAAAAAAATGGAACAGTATTTGAAAAAGGAAACAAGGTCGACTATTCTATTCTAAGGAAGCAAACACAATAACGATCTCTCCTTTCTCCGACACACAGAAAACTGTGGGTCCATTTCATTTTAAAAATGGAAACCTGTGAACCATTTTTTAAAAATTCCATTCTTTAGTGAAGGCAATACATCCACAAAAGGAAAAGTAAGAGCACTTATAATTTCCAGTAAAGCTATCATTTTCTGGATTTTTCCTTTCAGATTTTTCGCATATGCATCGATGCTTGAGTATATGCACACACAGGTTAGTAACCTGCACTTTGACTTAATCTTTCCCCGGCATTATCACAGGCTCCAAAATCATGATTTTCGATGGTTATGTAATGTCCCATTCACTTAATGTGTCATGATTTTTTAAGCTACTACCCTGCTGTTATACATTTGGGCTGTTTCCCAGTTGGTTCTCATTTTAGATTATCCTGTTTGGAATATGTGCCTGCAACTGGCTTTCTTTCTTTCTTTCTTTTTTTTTTTTTGGTATTTGTTTCATCCATTACAGGTAAATTCCCAGAGGACTGGGGTTTCTGGGTCACAATTTCCAACTTCTCCATGCACTGCCAGATTGCTTTACAAAAGGTTGATACTACTTGAAAATGTCCCTAGTGGGGAGGGAATAAGAAAAAAGATAAAGCATACACACCAAAGGCCAGTATTACACAGTTGGTTAAAGTTAATCTTTGCAACAAATCCTAGACGTAGGTATCATTTCCTCCATTTTATGAGTGGACAAAAGGTGGGTTAGGAAATTGACCTCAGAACCAGCTTTCCTGACCCAAAGTACCACCTCCCTGGAAACCTAAATAGGCCGAGTCTTGGGCAACCTTCCAACAAGGGGTTGCTGTCAGTATGACTGTTGTTTTTGTTAACTTAATAGACATAAAATGATAACCCCAATAATTTACATTTTATTCTGTAAATGAGTCATCATTTTGCCACTTATCTACCCGTATTAACACTTTCCTTTTACCAGTATGAAAAACTTGTGTCAGGTACAAATAATACAGTAGTACTAATCACACCCTAGCTCTCCGCTTTCTTCTCAGGTTAACGCTTGTTCCTTGTAAGAGGGCCTCAGTATTTGGTAAAACTGTTCCCTTTCATGGGTTCTTTTTTTCTCAAATCTACGAGATTTGTTAACCTTCCCAGAGATCTCACATTTTTTATTCAAATTTTGTTCCTATTTTTCTGATAAGATTTGTAAAAATTTTTAATCCTATGCTCCCCAGAGTTTTTCGTAAGGAAAAGGGAAACATCTCCAGGGTCTCCCTGTGGGGAACTGCTTATTAAATCGTAAGGACAAGAAAATAACGCAGCCATGAAGGTTATCTTGATTACGGGAGTGAAGTGGCCATGCACTGTGTGTGCATCTGGAGGCAAGGAAACAAAAACAGAGGGCTGTGGCTTTGCGGTGGTGGAATTACGAGGTAAAAGATATTTCGAACAGCTATTACAAAGAGAAAAGGAAAAAAATCCTTAAAGGGATAGTAAACATGGATTTATCCCCATTGTTTTGTTTTTTGCAGTTTTTGGCCGGGGCCAGGTTTGAACCCGCCACCTCCGGTATATGGGGCCAGCCCCTTACTCCTTTGAGCCTCAGGCGCCGCCCATATCCCCATTGTTTAATAATGAACCGTGACGGCCCCTGCAACACAGGTGGAGAGGCTGGTTTCCCCAGGGCCCTGATGACCAGATTCTGTCCCTCCAGGGTGGGAGGAAAGCGTGTGCAAAGGGAAGCTGTGGGTCCGCGGTCACACCCTGGTCCCATTCCCGGGTACCACCGCCAGGGCAGCCGCACTAACCGCCGGCATCCCCGAGACTCCACCCCCGAGGCCGGAGGCCCCGCCCACGCCCGCTGGCTCTCTCCCGGTCCCCCGGTGGCTGAGAGTGGGGCCCGGCTGCCTCCCCCAGGACCGCTATCGCCGCGCGGACACAGGGCGGGGCCGCCTCCCGGGAGGAGCTCGGCGCCTGCGGCTGAAAGCCCTCTGGAGTCTCGGAACTCCTCTCCCGCTGCGGCCTGGACCCGGAGGCTGGCGCCCGCCTCTTCATACCCCAACGCACCCTCTGTGCACCTGGAGGCGCTGGGCTTTGCCAAGGGCCGTCCTGGCCCCTGACCCTGGCCTCTGTACGCCAGGGGCAGCCATCTGGCGGGGAGCCGGGGCCCTGAGACCCCCAGAATTTCCTGCTCTGCTCTCCTGGCCGAGCGCCCCAGCCGAGCTCGTCGGCGGCCCTCCTTGAGCCCAGCCTCCGGCCATCTCCCCCACGTTCTCGCACCTGCGGTCCCTGGGGTCGCGCGACTTGCCCTTCTCGCACCCATGCTGGGTGGGGGGCGATTAGATACCTCACAACCACCGACGTCCCCCAGAGGGACTGCACTAGCTTCCCCCAACCCCCACTCCGAATAAATGCAGGCTTTCATAATCCGAAAATCGAAGCCAAGCAGCGTCATCCGAAAGACACCAGCACACCCGGCAGGCCTGAGCAGCGCCATGAGCCCCGGGGAAGCTCCAGCCCTTCCTTACTGCCAAGGTCCCTACCTCGCCCGGCCGCGTGCCCTAGCACCTCAGCCCCAACACCCCCGGTTCTCCCTGGGCCTTCGCTTATCCCCGCCGCACCCTGGTTCTCGAGACCCCTGTCCCAGCCCACGTCCCTCGCTGTGTTTACCTGCCTCGGTCGCGAGCAGAGGAGAAGCAGCTCGCAGCGCCGCGGCTGTCAACGACTGGTGCCGAGGGCAGGCAACGCGCGCCGCCAAGGAGGAGCCGGGGGCGGGGCAGGGAGGTGGCGGCGCGCACAGGCGGAGGTTGGAGCGTGGACCAATTAGGCGCAGCCTCGCGCACTCCTGGGTGCGCCCGGCCGGCAGCCGGCCGAGGTTTAAGTTAAAGGGCGCAGCGCTGGGAATGAGTCACTGGAAAAACGAGTTGATATTCGCTTAAACACCGCCATCACCTGATACCGCCTACGAGTGTCATCGCTCCCTGACGTTGCTCATTGACTATAAAAATCTTTTTAATTGAAAATTCTGCTCAAAGCCTCAAATCCCCGTTACATAATAAAGAACTCGAGAAAAACGACAGGTTAGGGAATGAGAAAGCAATTTCTGGTTAACTTTGATAACCAGAAATTTCTAAAGGGGGAAAAATTGGTCACCCTGAAGTGAGCCAAATAATTATAAATTGGAGGCCCAGAAAGGGCACTGACACTCACCTATTCCTTCACTTCTTCACTTTCTGCTCCTCATTTTACTCTAAAGAGATGATGTGGATTGTGATACTGACAAAAGAGGCACCCCGTATGAAGCAGGTGTGTTCTAGCTCAGAATCTCTGCTGAGACATTAGGTGGGGGGGTTGTTTCGTTTAAAGGAGGGATGTAGCGATGGCAGGACAGGAGTTAGGGGCGACCATGTAAATTTTTGCCCAAACCGGGTCACTTTTGAGAGTTTAAGGGGCATAAACCAGGACTATCTCGGGGGAAACGAGATATATATTGTACTCGCTGTGGGTTCTGAAAGGCTTATGGAGCACGTAAGGGAAGAGGTTTAGGATGCTGACGATCCAATTGGAAACAGGATTTGGGTAGAATAATTGTATCTCAGGACCGATCACTCAAGTGGAAGCGGACAAGCGGTGAGCGAGGGAGGAGCCAGGAGGACGTACTTTTCAGAGCTGGGGGCGACAGCGCCCCGGATGTGGTGTTTGTGGGAAGGCAGGGAACACTGGAAAGGTCCGCGGGGAAGGGCAGGGAGAGGGCCAGACAGCGTGGCCTTTGCATGCAGCTGGTTCAGTCCAGCGGGGAGGGCTGGCCTGAGTCCAGTTGGAAAACAGCACCAGGCAGCGATGCTGGTTTGCCTCCTGTCAGCCTTACATAATGCTTAGGTTGACAGAGCTTCTGGAACGTCCCCTCCTTTCCTCAGAGATGGCTCGTTGAGAGATGAAATCCGGCAGCAAAGCATCTCTTTGGTCTTCTAGAGTCTCGTGCACAGCTGGGAGGACTGAGTCAGGTTGGGGCCGGAAGTGGGTGGCCAGATCAGCCCAACCAGGGGCTGGCTACCCTTTTGGCAGAGCGGACTCAGGGTAAGCTAACTTCCAGTTTGTCCTCAAAAGAATCGTGTGTGCTGGGCGACTGCTCTGTCCCCAACTAGGAAAAGGCTCAAAAAGGCAGACGATATTTTTTTGGGGGGGGGAGGAATTAAGGAACCAATGGGGATCACCTATGTCTTCCTATTCTTATTATTATGTTGCAACTCGCCCAGAGCTTAGTAGTTGAAACAACCACCATTTTATTGTGGAGATAGATTGTGTAGACCAGGGAGTTGGGCAGGCACGGTAGGGACTTGATTCTGCCCCATGATGTTTGGGCGGTGAGTTGGAAAGACTCGAAGTCTGCAGGTGGCTAGATAGCTGAGGGCTGGAATGATCTGAGGGCTGGTCCACTGGTATGAGTGGCACCTGGGCTGGGAGGACTTGAACCTCAGGTGTGCTGACCTGGGTGCTGCTCTGTGGCTTCCTCTCAGCTTAGGGGGACTTCTTACTTGATGGCCCAGGGCTCCAAGCATGAGAGTTTCAGCAAAGGAGGAAGCTGCATTGCCACTTGCTACCCAGCCTCAGAAGTCACATAGCATTACTTCCATTGTATACTCTTGAACACTCAGATTGATTCAAGGGAAGGGGACATGGACCCCACCCCTCAAAGAGAGCAGTATCAAAGAATTTGCAGCTGTTCAAAAAATGCCACAATGGGCTTGGAGGTTTGGCCTGTAGATACTTAGGCATTTTCATTGACCTCAGGGACAGCACCAGGGGTGGGCAGCCCATAGGAGGTGTCTTCTGCAAGTGGCATCCCAGCCTTACTCCAGTTGCCTCACCCATCACCACAACCACTCATAACCCACTATAAACAATGAAGGTCGTGTACTGGGCTGGGTGAAGAATGGGGTTTAGGATTTGTCCTCCCGGGTTTCACCTGATAGCCCCACAGCCCTCGCTGAGTTTCTTGGACATCTCCCTTCACATCTGTGTCCCTGCTCAAAGTTATTTGTCAACACTATGTAATCCTCCTCAGTGAATAATAAGAAGAAGCTAACAAAGTCATGCTCTCAATTTATCTTATTTGTGAAAGGAGAATCATTTCATTCAACAAACAACTTATTATTGAGCACCCAGTATGAATTAGAGAGTTACAGTTTCTAATGGCCCATGATGGGTTTGGGATTTTAACTAAATGTGAAAGCAAAGTCCCTGAAGATTAAGTGAGGGAGTGACATGGCCCTCTTAATGATTGCTCTGGCTCAGCAGCTCTCAATCTGTGAGTCTCAACCCATGGGAACTGTATTAAACGGCTGCGGCATTAGGAAGGTTGAGAACCACTGCTCAGGCTAGTGTGCAAGGCATTAATCAGGGCCTGGGCTGTGGCTTTTGCAGTGGTCCAGGGGAGAGAAAATGGTGGCTTGATCTACAGTGGTGGCAGAGGATGGATTCAAGACAGAATCTAGAGGTGGACCCACTGGACTTGCTAATGCCAATGAGATAAGGAGTCCAGGAAAAGGGGGAATCGTGGATAACTCCTGGTTTTTTTTAATGAGCAACCGGGGATGGTGGAGCTATTTTCTTAAATGGTAAAAGATGAAGAGCAATGAAATTTTGGAGAGCACCTCAGGAATTCCTTTTATTTGAACAACGTTGAATATGTGATATCTGTGTAGCGTCTGGATGGCTGTTGAAGATATACATTTAAAAGTTTTCAGCATGGCTCAGCGCCTGTGGCTCAAGCGGCTAAGGCGCCAGCCACATACACCTAAGGTGGTGGGTTTGAATCCCCAGCCCGGGCC